AGGCATGGCTGTGACAATACTGTGAAAAAAACCCTGGAATTTAGTTAAGATATGTTAACTTCAATATTAGTAGAGATTTGTAGTCAGTTGGCATGCAGCTAACAAGTAGGGCAGAAATTATTGAGTTCCTGCTGTGTGCCTGGCTTTATTAAAGGCTATGAGTAGTAGGAAAGGCAGGACCTCTGCAGTCTAGTTGGTTAAAATGAAATTGGCAGTGCAAATTACATGTGCATTACATTTCTTAAGAAGAAGACTGATACACCATGTCCATATGTACAGACAAAATCAAGTCCAAGAGTCTAGACAATGAAGCTAGGATGGATTGAGAAGGAGAAAAATTGAAGGATGCTATCTGGAAAGCCAAATTCAGACCTAGTGGTGGGGCATTTGGTGCGCCAGGAAGGGCGTGAACAGGGGACTGGAAGCTGAACTCCATTGTCAACACACCACACAGTGAATAAATTATCTTATTTGAATGCAGAGAGTTTGTGTGACATGACACACCACGCCTTGAAAGACATCAGTGTTGCCAGTTGCTAGCTATTAAACGGCAAAAGTTGACATGTCAAACCCACATGTTTTTATTGAGCTTAGGAACAATAGACAGTTCTTATGGATTATTTTTCTATGCATTTTAAATCAGTTATAAGAATTCAAATCAAAATAAAGAGAAAGTGCTTTTGCTATAGACCATACCTGTACAAGGAGATGAGTTTAACATTAAATTAACCTTTGCTTTTACATGTTTATAAAGAAAATGTTGTTTAACATTCTAAAAAAGAAAACAGGTTTTTCAAGAATCAGTGGTGCAAAATTTACAGCTGTTAGTACCAATATTCAAAGTTGTAAAATAAAATCAGTTAAGACACAGCCCTGCATGTTTACCAAGAAGTTCATAAAATATTAACCATGCTGGTTATGAACCTAACTCTTAGGTTGTTAAAAAGGATGCATAGTTAAATTATCATAAAGAAATTTCACATTTTTTTGAGTAAAACCATCACTTAAACATTTCTTAGACTCTGGACCCATGTTTTAAAATGTTTTTAAGACTATATAATCTAAATTAGTAATAGGCAGGTATTATTTTCTCCATAAGTGAATTTTTAGACATAAAATACTAAAAATAATATATAATTGACTTGATTTAAAAAATAACATATGGGAGAATGTCTGGAGAAATTAAATATACTTATGGCGGCATGGATCCACTAATGTAAAGTTTCATTACCAATATAAAACTCATTCTCAATCATTTGTCTTGGCAAAGGGCAGAGACAAATATTCTTTTAAAACAAGGGATTACTACTAATGGTCATCTTAGTAGCAGTTTCCCCTACTGATGTCATCTGCCCTCTTAGTAATTCTTGGAGTTTTAGCCTTTGCAACAGGGAGCTGCCATTTCTTCAACTGAGAGTGAGGAAATTGCTTGTCTTATGGATAGCCACTACTGTGTTGTGAATTTTTGCTATTACTCTTCCTATCCTTCTAATAATTATTGTTATTCTTAAACTGTGCTGTAATCTGATACCATTGTGGCATGTAACTATATTGAAATCTGTATGGGAAGTATCAGAAGGCAGTGTGGACTCCGTTAGGGGCTGGGTGTTTATTCACAAAAGGTTTGAAGTGACAAATGTTTAGTGACACAGCCTTCTCCCTTTTCTGATGTATCACTAGAGAAACTCAAGGGATGGAAAAGAATCTGCAAGAAACACATTCTACAGGTGTGTGGCAACACCTGCCCGTGGGGTGAGTGATGGAGCTTTATGTCTGTGTGTTTGTAATTTAAATCTTTAAGGAACATTTTACAAAGAAAGAAAAAGTGGCTGAATGTCTCTTAGACTTCTGTTAACAAATGGGAACATTAGGATTCAGACAGAAGAACAGTATCAAAATTTAATCACCAATCAGTAAACACCTCAAATTGTTCCTTTTCCATTTAGCTTTGTCATTTTAAAATTTGTCCAGGAAACTTGTCCGTTCCATCAGACAACTGGAGAAAAGGACGAAAAGTAGAAAAAAGGTTAATTTTGAGAAAGGGTTAATGAAAATTCTAGAGCCTGCTTCCTGATTTAACAGACAGAACAAACATTTCATGTTTTCTACCCTGAAGTCTGCTCCTCAAATTGACTTACTTTCGTGTAACTAAAAATTCCCTTTGGTGACTCCGGAAATGCAACCAATGAAAGTTAAATGACAAGGAGAAACATTTTGTTGAAGGAATGAACAATTAACATTTTGAGGAGGAACTTGTCTTCCCTAAACATGTGGGCAGCTCCCAAGACCCTTCCTGCCAGGTCCAGTCCGCCAAGAGCGCAAACTGCGCGTTTGCATCAGAGTAACACGCGTGGGATCCAGACCCCAGAAGTGTCGAGCACAGACTGCGGCGGGAGACCAGGCAGCCTTACTCATTTCTTCTGGTTTTCTCCTTGCGAAAAAATGCCAAAACAAAGGAAACCTCCCCAAGGTAAGAGTCACGGAATCATTTTCTTGTACCACACATTTAGGAATTCCGACCTAGTTGTGTGCCAGGCTGACGCTCCTTACATGCGACACCCAGACTCTGTCCTGGAGTCAGGGAGCTCCTGGGGAACTCAGTGAGGGAGGGGAGCCGCACCAGGTCCACAGCGTCCCACCTGCCGGTGTGGTGCAGATACAAATAAGACCTTTTCTACTGTGGGACGTTTGGATGGAGTCGGGGAAAGCATTGAGCAGTGAAGAATCTGGAGTGCGCTTCCAAATAAAAACACGCGAAACCGGACAGAAAGAGCAGAACGTGGAGAGCATTAAATGGCCCGGGGCCCAGCGCTAGCCGGGAGCCCGGGGCCCTGCGTCCGCTGAGCTGCTTGCCGCACAACTCAAACTTGGGTGACCGCCTTGCCCTTCGTGAAAGCTGGGCTTTGGCGCGTGTGCTCCGCTCCCGGGAAGGTGACCTAGTCCAGGGAATCTGGAAAGCCCCTCCCACTGTGCAGCGGCAGTGCCACCACCCCCTACTCTCCATGGTGGCCCGCGGTGCTGTGCCTGTGGGACCGCAGACACCTGCGCGTCTGAGCGCTCCCGCGCTCCAGCTTCTCCAAACTTCTGCCAGCTCTGAATTCTGAGCGCCCATTGGGTGGCACGTTTCCCTTCAGCAGCAATTGTCTGAATTCGAGGCTGCAGGACAGTGGGACAGGGGCCCAAGAAAGCCTCAGATGACAGGGTTTGGGGCGATGCTCTCACGTTTTTCTTATTTGACCCGTAGTTTGTCTTTCCCATTCTCTAACCTCACTGGGGCAAACTGGGGCTTGTACTCATGGAATTTATTTTAAAGTGAATCTTGGAAAGGGAGTCCTGGGGGATGAACGGTCTTTGAAACCTTAGTTTATTGCAAACACTGTGCGTTGATTTAAACTCCAACGAAACGTCCCATTGTGAGCTCTCCCCCTGGGAACTCTGACTGAGCACGGCTGGGTTGGAGATGCTGGCCAGCTACCAGGAGGAATCCCTGGCTGGGGCAACTGACAGGCCAACGTGGCTGGCCCGACACGCACAGCTGGAGCTGCTGCAGGACTCAGGGCTTGGAATCAGAGACACTGGACCCATCTGTGACAACGCCCAGGAGAGACCCGGCAGTTCCCCAACCCGCCCGGCTCGGCTTGGGGTGTAAGGGGTGCGCAGGGGCCTTTGGGCCGCGGGAGACCGGCCTGGTGGGGGCCGAGTCCCAGCGGGGCGCGCTACGTGGGCGCGGGCGGCGGCGGCGTGGGGAGCGCCCGCTCCGCCAGTGGGCGTCTTCTGCCGCCGCCGCCGCCGCCGCCTCCACGGGCAGCGGCACTGCGGCGCTTCTCTCCGCTGCTTTCGAGCAGTCGCCGAGCCTCAGCCACCCGAGCGCGCACAAACCACGCCACGCCTGCAGGCAGTGTCTCCGCAGCCCCTCGCCCCGGCCCGCGAGGACGCCGATTGTGCGCGCCAGCCAGTAGCCAGGCGCCATCGCCCGGGACTCGCCCCCGGCCCAGGGTCCTCCCGCACCGAAGCAGAGCGTGATGTGAAGATTGGACCGGGAGGGCCACAGAAGGCAGGAGAGGAGGACCAGACAGACGGTCGGGCGGACCGGCCAGGGAGGGCAGGTCCCGCGGGGGCGGAGCCCACCGAGTCCCGGCCCGCCGCGCCCCTCCGCCGGCGGCCTGCCCCCACCGCGGCCGGAGGAGGACGGCCATGGCCAGCCCCGAGGAGCCTCTCGTTCCCCGCCCCCAGGCTCCCTCGCCAGTGGCCGGGGACCAGCGGGGCTCTGGCCCTGGCAAACTCCGCCCGGAACCCCTGGGCGGCGCGGCCGGCGGGGGGAGCGCGGCGGGCCCGGGTCGGGCCCCGGCCCCGGAGTGGCCTGGCTGCGGCCGGGACCAGCGCGCCGCGCCCCCGCGCCCGCCCCCCTCCTCCGCAGGCCGCACCAACCCCGCGGGGGGCCCCGGCGCCCTTTCCGCGCGCGGCGGCTGCGGTTGGGTAGCGGCTCGCGCTCCCTTCGCGCTTGCCCTCTCCTCTCCGGTCCCCTCCTCCACTCCATCTTCCTTCTACTTCTGGCCGCCGCCCCCCCCGCCCCCGCCCGCTTTTCTCCCCTCCTCATCTGCCTTTCACCTCCCCGCGCGTCTCCCAGGAAGGGAGGGCGCAGCGGCGGCGGCGGCCGCTGGAGGAGGCGGCGGCGATGCGGGCGGCGG